ACTTATTGGTTCAGCAGGTGTAAAAGTTATTGACTCACATTTTTTTTCTCCTACATATATATATTGAGATTTCATGTGTCAAGCTGATCCATACGAAGTATTAACACCCAATCATTCGTGAAAAAACGTACAATTGCTATCATCTACCTAAATAATTAAGGCATTAGCATAAAAAATACATTATGTAAGAAGTTTTTGAATTGGTATATAAGTAGTTGACAGACCAAACCGAGTATTTGCAAATTTATTATTCATGTTTATTGACCTTTCAAATGACAATGCTATCGAAAATTAATATTGTCTACTTTGGACGCAATGTTTATAGTTTTCACCAGGGTACAAAATACTGTTATTAAGTGTATGTTCTTACATATTGACGTCTATATTGCCTCAAGCGATCTTATTTGATTAAAATGTTTTCAAATTACTGCACTTTAATCAGTTTAATAATTAAAATCCTCGGATAAATTGAGTTTTTTTAACGCACTTACTTGTTCCAAGTTAATTTCCAGATTTCAAGTAAATATTTTTCCTATTCTCTCGCACCGCCGCTAAAAGTCGGTAAAATTATCATATCTTCAATCAAAAAATTACAGAATTAGTCAGTGTATCACCATTATTTTTAAAAGTTTCTTCTGATATAGAAACTATGATAATATTGTCTGATATGAAATTACAGATGTTTCTTTATTTCCATTCGGTTCTCTCTGTTCTTCCAATCAGTTTAATTATTTAAAATTGCTTCAATTAATGTAGAGGTTATACTGGTTTAATGCCTAACTAATATATGTGTCATTAATTACTTCTAATTTAATAGTTTCTTGTATAAATGAAGGTTTTTTATATTTTATATGTACGGAATGGTATGTGCCATCAAAAACTGGCTTGTGCTTAATATCACACTAATTAAATTCACTACTTGCATTTTTTACCTTCACCTTGCTTATTTTAGAAATATTGACTAATTTTTGGGTTTGTTCCATAATTGATCGTATTTGTACACGAATATGAAGCCTTGGGACTGCGTCAATTTTGCCCAGCACACATTTTCAAATATACTCCAATAAATATTTTGGAATAGTTTCAAATACATAATTAAAATTTGATGAGACTTAATAAAATTCATTTTTTTATTCGATCACTTAATTATAAGCTGGTACACGTCAGAAGCTATCGTTCCACCGTAACCAATTACCAGTTAAGTTTAATCATATTCAAAGGTAACAAATGCTATCCATTGAATTTGATTAGCCATTGAAATAATAGTAGCTTTTTGAACACATTCATTAGTTCAATTTCAAAGCCATACAATTTATACAAATGTTGTCGTAATTTAGTACATTAGATTAATTAATGAAACATAACTCATAACCCAAAGATGTACATTTTCTTTAAGCATAAATTTTGTTTCTTTTATGGCAGAATTTTTGGCTAATAACTCGAACGTGAAATTGCAAAAAGTTTTAATAACAAGCATTAATTAAATAACTAATTAAACGGTGCTACGTGTGGAGTATATTTATTAGACTCTCAATAGCATGCAATCATATTTTCATTTTATTAATTCCTATCATCACCCGGTAATGTGGCACAAAGGCTTTTCAGTGCCGTAACTTTCAATAAAACACTCAACTTAAATGTGACAATTTTTGTAATACCTACAGTAAAACATATAGGGCAATTAATATGGCTTTTAGTAAAAAACGTACATTAGCTTTGAAGTTGATATTATTATCAGTGGAACTTTGAAACATCAAGCAAAGTTAGATTACCGCAATTAAAATCAAGAACAATTTTTTTTGCCAAATTTTGTTTCGTTACACCACTGTTGAATTGTATTAATTTTTTAATATTAATTAATATATTAGGCGATTTCGTGCGATGGCGAGACAGTAAGAGGGTCGTATGTACATTTTAATGAAGCTGAAAAAGTGTGTGCATGTGCACTGGCGCAATCTACAGAAAATATCAACACTGCACCAAATGTAGGGTTGTTTGTATTCAAATTTCTCCATTTTGTGACAATTATTGGTATGGCTGAATAATTTAATACTTCTCTAAGTGCAGTCAAAATACTGGGCAATAAATGTAACAGGTTGTTTGTTGGGAATTCTATGTTTATGCAGATTCTTGTTCAGGCGCAATAATTCGCTTTCAATTTCTTATAAATATTGATTGAATAGAAAGTGAACAAAATTGCATGAGAAAATATTCGTTAAACATACAATTATTATCTGCAATATTAATAATAATTACGTTTTATGCTTTCGCAGGTTTAAGACAGTTTAAAGCATGATGTTATGCAAATATGCAACAATATTAAAACAAAACAGTTAAATTCCTGTGCCAACAGAAACTTATTAATCTTAGAGAAAAATGCTGGACACCTATTGAACTACATATTTTCAGAGAGATATTAAAACGGGTGTACGTAATTGGCATTTGGGTGGGAACCGAATGCCGTAATTAACATTCTCATTTCTGTGACTAGGCGCGATATATCATAAAGTTATTCTTTCAGCTTTGAACACAAAGAACGAACCATTCCTCGGCCTTCAAAAATTCAATACCATGGTCATGTTCAATGTCTCGCTGTTCTCTAATCTCGAGTCTTTTCTCTTTACTTCCCGGTTTTTTAAGACGTCTAACTCGTTTAAATGTGCCGCACTTTTAGCCCAATTTTCATAGTTTATGCATTGACCCATCAAAAAAACCAAAATAATAAGAACATTGTTGTTTCGTATCTTTCAGCAAGCTAAAGCCAATGTTGTATTATTATCTGTATGACAAAGAGGGCAGCTGAAAGAACTTTTGTTGCTAACAGCTCAGACTTTTTATTAAAAATTACTTATTTTCAGATTTAGCTTAAAGAAAAATTTGTGTTTGCCTTAAACGCCTTTCGATTTTCTTCTCATGAACTCTCAGAGCGGATAGTTTACTTTCAAACTTGTCTTAAAATGATCCACGAAAAAACTGAGTTATTTCTGCGATTCAATTCATTTAAACAATGCAGAGTCGGGAATCCTTCCAGAACGTCGTCAAATATATCAACAGTTAATGAACACACTTGGTACGTTTGGTATTAATAGATTTCAAAATATTGTCGAAATTCCATTAAAGTAAGTCCTTATCAACAATAATGGCCACAATTTTCTGGTATAACCGAAAGTGTGGTCATCTTGAAAATATTTTAGATCGCTGACTTCGACACACTGTAGAATTTTCAAATTTCTGCTAATTATAGTTTGCCAGATTTCGATCTCGCCGGTTCTCGGTGGGACACCCTGTACAGGCTCTATTGTCCGTTGTGGTGTTCTATATTGGCAAGACAATCAGCATGCTGGAGACCCAAGTTAAGCAGCATCTCATGAGACTAAAACTAACAGTTTAGTGTTCTGCATCTAAGGTGCCCTGATAAGTTCAATTTCGGACATCATGTGTCCTTTTCCGGACATTTACTCCTGGGATTAATGCAAAAAATATTCACAACGTCCATAGTTTTTCCTTCAGGTTGAAGTTGCTGGAAGATCTGAGGATTCTTAAGGAGACCGCTAGGGTGGATTCTAAGTGATGATTTGTGATGTGTGAGTTTTCCCCATTTTTAAGAGATTATACGGTTTCAAATCTGTACTTATCTCTTGAACCATTACGTAATTTCATTTAATTTTCAATTCATTCAATCGTTCAATACCAACTTAATTTTCATCAATTTGTTGAATGGTCCCCACAATATTTGTCGTGTTGGGTCTGGGACTGCTAATTACTAATTATTGTTTTGCCAGTCTTGAAGAATTTGTTTTTTGGTTGCACAATTTTTTGTTTTTAAGTTACAAGTATGCCGTCAGCAATTCACATGTATAAGGAAAAATCTACAGTAAGCTTCTTCGTCCATCTTAGATAGTTTGGTTTGTTTCTTGAATATTGAGCCAAGAACTCGCTCGGTGTTGGACTGGTCGTCTGTCCCCATATTTCGACCAGTACATGGTTTTTCATTTTTAATTTTTGGTCCGTTTTCATGTTAGTTTGTTCTCTGTGTTGCAATTTTAATTCTTTGACTGCCGCATCATTGGTTCTGCACTCTTGGGGATGTACGCTTATGTCTTTTACGAGTAAGTTTCTATCCTTTTATTTCACTCATTTGCCCCACTGACTGGACACAATTATTTGATGTGTAGTGAAAGATTATCATATTCGATCAAAAAGTAAAATCGCATAAAACTACTTATAAAATTCGTTTTTAAAATCGCACTTGGAAAGATATGGTGCAGTATCGTTCCAACGCTGGAAAGTATGTCTGATTTATATAAATCTTCATATTCATAAATATCACCAATAAACTGAGCTAGAGAATACAGTTGCAAATAAATAATCTGGAATTTACTACATTAAAGTTTCAATGTAAAGGTTTTTAAATTGATCTGATTGAGATTTACTGTTGTAATTTTAAAAAGTCATGTTTGCTAAAAATAGCTGTATTTAAATAGGAGTAGGACTCTTAATCCGACATTTTAATAAAGCTATACGTATTAATTTACTACATAATCAGTTGTTAATCTCGATTCGATCTGAGTTCTTTTCAATGTGTACATAATTTAAAAATGGGTTATTGTATCGCTATTATTAGTCTGATTGTCAAGGTTATCTGTTTCCCTTCTGGTATAATATTCAAGACTTGAATCGCTCTTGCTTCGATTCATTGTTCTTTTGCTTTCATAATACCATAACCAGAGGCGCACTTATTACAATATTGCTAACTGTTGGCCGAACTATGAAAACCGAATTACTACCTTATTTTCATCAATATTTTCTGCTGTGACAACTTATACAAGGCGAACGTAAAGTCCGCGATCGAATACAATGATCTATCGTCTAATGAAAATGTATATTTTAAATATATATATATATATATATATATCACATCATAGGATCCGTGCAGGTTTTTATTCCATTCAAGTTAATTTTCCACTTTTTCATTCATTAATATTTTAATTTTTTTTCAGGTGTTCAGTTCCAAAGCAGAGCTTCAAATGCACACTCAAGCACATATGAGGGAAGCAAAACCTTACAAGTGTTCGCAGTGTTGCAAAGCCTTCGCCAATAGTTCCTATCTCTCACAGCATACGAGGATTCACCTGGGGATCAAACCCTATAGGTGTGAGATTTGCCAAAGGAAATTTACACAACTTAGCCACTTACAGCAGCACATTCGAACACACACTGGAGATAAACCATACAAGTAAGTACTATCTAGCTATGATCCAATTGGTATTATTATCTGCTTATTTATCCTTGTTTGATTCAACTGTTAACATTTAATTATCTTGTAATCAGACCGGACACGCAGCAGCAGTATTAACTTAGTTATACACCGCATAACGGAATATTGAATGGGACATAATTGGTGTTAAGAAAGTCAGGAGAAAAGAGGAGGGCCTGCTTGTGTTGCAATCTGGAATTGCTTTATTCGATAAAGGTAATGACACAGACAGTCAAAGAGGGGCAGGCTTTCTAATTAAATAATCAATAACCCCAAAAGTTGAGACTACAATGGGAATATCAGAAAGACTAGCATATATTATCCTTAAAATAAATGAAAAACACAAGTTAAAACTAATAGAAGTACATCTATCCACATCCAGCTATTCAGACGAAGGCACAGAGCTACTACGAACATCTAAGATTGGCAAGAGAACAGGACAAATGTAAAAATGAGATAGTTTTAGGTATGGGAGACTTTTGCGCCATATTGGAAAAATATGGGGAGGCCAAGGAGGAATATGTAGGAAAAGTTGGATGTGGCACTAGAAATCAGAGGGATAATCTGCTGACAAACTTTATAACAGAACAAATATTGTATGCCACAAGCACCTTCCTTAACAAAAAACTCCAAAGAAAATGGACCTGGATAAGCACAAACGGAGCGCCAAAAAGAACGAAATAGACTACATACTTTCTTCTTCCAAAACAATAATTCAAGACGTAACAGTTCTGAATTCGTTCAATACAGGGAGTAACCATAGATTGGCAGAGCCAAAAGGATCCTGAAAAAAATAAGCTGCAGGGAATACGGAAGAACCAACCAAAAAATAGCAGACACGGAAATACTCCATCAAAACAGGGGAACACACAAGGAAAAACTTCTGTTCAAACAATATTTAAACATTTGTACAGAGTAGTCGAAAATAGTCTCCTAAACTCACTGTCGTGGTCAATCGATACCAGTCTCTCTAAACACTGTAGTGAATCCAGTCGTGAACCTAAAAGTCTCCCTAAACACTGTCGTGAAGACAAATTCGTAAGCTCACAGCCAACGCACACAGTCGTGAACATCTAAAGTTTATTCTCCCTCGGGCCGGCACCCTAACCCACACCCGAAGTTACTTAAGGTCACAATCGAGCTCTACCACTCTCAAAATTCTCGCTTAGTATACAGCCATACTGCCCAGCCCAATCCCTCATAGTTAAAAAATAAAGAGGTTTTTACCAGTGCCAGTTAAGCACGTTCAGTATCGTCATATCTTTATTATTCCTGCAGCTGCTTCCAACTGTACCCAACCAACACTCGACTCTCAACAAACACTTTAGTCCTTCGAAACGCGGAAAATTCCCTCCCCTTTACATTGGTCTTGCAGGCCGAATCATTTGGCCAAGCGAGACCATACCTTTCTAGTCCCTGGATCCGGACCATTATATTTTGGTCCTGCGAGCCGGATCATTACATTTTGGTCCTTCCAGCCGGATCAGTACAACTACAGAGCCACATAAACAACATAATGAAAACAGACGACATCAACCAAGTAGCCTCCGATATAACAGAGGCAATGAGGAAAGTAGCAAATGAAGTAGCGGATAGAAAGCCAAGAAAAACAAACAAAATATTATGCGAAACCAAACTAAAGATAGGAGAAAGCAGGAGCTCTGTATAAAAATGGTTTATACGCAAGGGAACAATACCGAAATATCAGAAGAGAGGCAAGGAGAATGATAAGAAAGGATAGGAAAGAGAACTATAGAATAATGGTAGAGAAGGTGTTTGAAGAAAACACAACAAGGAAAACACCAAATAATAGCTCTAAAGGACGATAACAATGTGGAAACAAGAAACAGCGACAAAGTTAAAGAAATAGCCGATAAGTTCTAACAAGACCTTTACTCACCAAGAACAGAAGAAAGATATAATTGCGGAAATGAGGCTCTTGCAAGACTCTTACAAGTCTTTCTTTTATATAAGCCGTTAAATTGGATGGAATTAATTTAATAATAACAATAATAATTAAATTAAAAGATAATAATAATCAATATAAAACAATAAAAAGAATCTCGGACTATTTGCGCTTTTAATAAGTTTAATTATTTTGTAATACAAAATTGTTAACGCGTACTTTATCATTGTCACTTAAGACCCAGAAAATCTTCATCCAGAGAAATTGAACATATTTTCATGTATTGTAATTTACATATTCTAAGGAAAATACAACAAGGAAATCTTTAGAGTAAGCTGTAGATAATTAAATATTTTGATTGGGCTTTCAGCATTTTACTGATAGAACACAAATTCAATTATTAATAATGCATATGATTCGTCACAAGGATTAAATTATATTACTGTAATACAGTAACTGTATGTAAGGACTCTGGTAATGGCCATTGGAAAAGTAATTATTATATACAGTGTAGATTGTAACCTGTTCATCGAAATTTATTTTCTACTTTTTATACTGTTTTTTAGAATGTCCATAATAGAGGCATGAATTAACTGAAAAAATAGAATTCAAATTTAACAAAACTGAAGCAAAAATAAAAAGTCATTTTCTACATAGAACTACATATAAATACTATGATATAAATGATTGCAAGCTTTTCAAAAAGTGGATGACCAAGAGCTTAAACAGAGTAACCAACACGCTCATTCGGATAATCGAGGGCGATGATTTATAATCCTAGGTGGCCTATGCTCAATACTGGGCGAAATGAAAGGCTTAATGACACAACGCCTAAAAAAATACATAAAACAGAAATTATTATACGTCACAAATCAGTTACGCGTTATCAACATTACACAATATGTGCAGCGTCTTCTTGTGATGTTTCTACAAAGCATCAAATAAAGCGCAATGAGTGTCGTTTACCGTTTTTTTATTATTTAGTAACTACTCTTGTGCATTTGAAGCAAGCTTTTGTTTCTATGTTTTTAAAAAATCAAGTAAGTTTATCAATAAATTTTACGGTTTCAAACTTGTAACTACCTGAGTTGATCGATGAAATGTATTCAAACTTTCAAATACGATGTTTGCATTAGTTTATATTACAATATCTACCTACATGAATTTAATCCAGTTACACGATTTACTTAATTTTTTTCTTAATAACGTACTTGTTTCTTCCAGCTGTCTCTTGAGTTTAATATCATCTAGTTATTTAATTATGTCGAATGTTATTTAAGTAAATGTGTAACATGTCTTTTTGCTATTGTTCGTGATCATGTTAAACATTTTTTTGCGCTCAACTAGTTCGACCCAATATTTTCTTCAATTGGACCGCCTCAAAGAAACTGGTCAGTATATTAGAATATAATAGTCTAGCAGTGGTGTTAGTCACCACAATCCGACCCGTTTATAATACGCTATTTTTTCACCTTTTAATTCGCGAGCTCGTAAAAAACAATCGTGCTATTGAAATTGTTGCTGGAAAGGATTGCCGCAATAAAAACCCGATTAAAGGTTAATTTACATGATTTGTTTCATCGCGCGCTGTTCTGACGGATTATCAACTGTTATGATAACGTTTTCATTTAATTTACTTGTTCTGGCTTTGCTACTAATGTTTACAATTTGACAGATTAAATAATTAGTCTAGTGTGATTTGTGTAGATAAGAAAGAGAGCTGCTTGATCTTTTCGAGAAGAATAACTAGTTTAGTTCAATTATTGGTGACCAAAACTGAAGTCAGTATTTTTTGTATGAGATGCGTGAAATAAATGTTTTTAAACAGCATATAAAAATATCAATTTGTAAGAACTTTGCAAACAAGATACCAATAATTTTCTCTTACAGTTCATTTAAACCTTAAAGAATAAGGCCTAAGTTCTATAATTTTCAGGCGAAACATTTGTTACGTTACGGCTTCCTATAGCCAACACCGAAAATACTATTATTTCCAAAAAAGGTTTTCGTTATGTGTAACTCGTTTGTTCAATGGAACGCAAGGTTTTATTGGAAAGCTCAAAGGTTTTGATTTCTTGATAATTTCCTTCTTTTTTATACAACTTTGAAGTACCAAGTTAGTTTGGAAAAATGTACTCCTTAAATTTTATAGCAATACGTGAAATTTGCCCAATTCATTTAACTAGAAAAAATCGGCAAACTTTATCATTATTATCATCTCATATGTTAATAAAAAAACAAACACAGACCGTCGATGTAATGATAAACCGTCATAACCTCGGGTGAGCTAGCCAAGACATTAATAAAACATTAAGCAAATCAAAAACCATTAAAATCGGAGATCTCGGCCGCAATTAAAAGACGTTTATTTTGTTTTAGATAATCAAAATGTGTTTATGTAGCTAGAGCGGAGCGGTGTTTATTTTGTTCTTTGGGTTTTTGTTATTTCAAGAAACGCTCGTTGTATTATGATTCCATTTGCGGAGTCGAGGGCACACCACACCGTCTAACATTATGCAAAAAAAAATAATTCCGCGATCATTTTACGTTTATGTACATCGATTTTTTTTTAAGAAAGCCAAATTAGGTTTCCATCAAGACGCGTGCATTGAATCGCGTCTTAAATGAGGTATTTCAAGAATAAAGCATGAGCCTCTTTAATCAAATAAAAATAAAATTAAAAATCTCTTAACCGTTTACGCTAATGTTAATTGCGATAGATCTAATTAAAAACTCACAGGTCTGATGTATTTAAGTGCACTGTCTGTACGAGTGCAAAGATCCACAAAACAAAACGTGCGTCGGATGAAAAAACTTTACCAGAACGTAAACTCTTCGAACGGTGCCTTCACCTACTGGTCCAGAACACATTAAAACTAATTTATCAGCAGTGAAATTTAAATATTAGAAAAGATAATCATTAGCACCTTCTTTACTTTACTGTGTTTCATTATATCAGATCCTTTAATTAAAACTGATCTAGCTCACTTTAACTGAAACAAGCATTTTCTATATAAAGAGGATTATATATATCGACTTTTCGCAAGTGCAAACTTTTTTATTAATTGTCTTTATATGTTGTTTACTTTTGCGTACAAATGTATTTTGTATCAAATACCTTTTTCCTCTTGCCTAACCGGTTGATTGTTTATATTTATCAGGCAAATCGACCTTGAGAGCAAAAAAAATGTAAATTGCTCCAAATAAATATTCATTATTATTCTCGCAGGTTACACGGACAGGGAAAATCTGATTCATTTCAGTTCTAATTGTTTGTTAAATTGTTAATCGGATTGAAACGAATGTATTCTATTCTTTTGCTACGGCTGTGGTCGTTTTATTGGCTAGTTAATAATTGCCGCCGATATTTACATATGTTGCATATGAATCGACAAGATCATTGCCAAAGACCCTTGATTGTTAGAATAATTTTCATTGTCTCTGTGTACTTCTTTCTGGTTTGTGTATTCATTGTGTTTATATAACTGTTCTCATGCAATACATCATTCCTGAATTCCCCAGCAAAAACGTGTTATTCTGCATCCATGCAATACTGACGCATCATAGTACGAGTAAGTCAGTTTTGCCTGATTCAACATAGAAAGTCAAGGAAAGCGGATGTAGAATTTTAATAAATAACTGTTATTTTCTCGATCATTTCATGTTAAGTGTTTTTTCTGTTATAATTACAATTGTTTTTTTCTTATCAGATGTCGACATCCGGGTTGTCAAAAAGCTTTTTCGCAACTCAGCAACTTGCAATCACACTCCAGGTGCCACCAAACAGACAAACCCTACAAGTGCAACTCCTGCTACAAGTGCTTTAGCGACGAACCATCGTTATTGGAACATATACCAAAGCATAAGGAGAGCAAACATCTGAAAACGCACATTTGTCAGTATTGCGGAAAAAGCTACACACAGGAAACGTACCTGCAGAAGCACATGCAAAAACATGCGGAGAGAACCGACAAGCGACCTCCAATTGGGCCAGGATTAGGTAAGAAGCAAGAATGCTTATTAAAGCTAATAATTGTTAAATATTTTGATATATGTATATATAACATTTGTTTACATTTTAATTATGCCATAAAAACGTAATTTTGAATGCTATAGTCTTAACTATTTACGAAGTTTTGTTAAATATTAATAAATTTATATGGTCCAAAAATATAAACAAAGATACTTTTTGAGAAAACAAATATTTCATCTTTTAAAATATTAGTGTGGACATTATGCGGTCGGCTGATTCTAAATTTGCAAGAAACTTTTTAATTCATATAATTTCGACTACACAAAAAGCATCAAAATCTGCAAAAAACTGGCAGTGTAAGATGATTTTCATGAATCAGGAACATCTCTGTATAATTTAATTTAATAATTTACATGCTGTTTAACTTGACTTAAATACTGAGTTTTTAATGACCCATTAACAGTTTAAACTACTTTATTAACAGAAAATTACATATTTTGTCTATTTTTACTAGGTTTTGTTTTTTTATGCGTCAGAACTAAAAAAATCCGCATGTTCTTGATATTCTTCTGCAACATTCACCATGCATTTGAAAGAAATTTGAGTAATCGTAGGTTCTGTAGCTTTGAGTGACGGCAATATTTGATGCCACACTAAGCTGTGAGTGAATAAGTTTAGACAATAAGTAAACTTTCCCATTTAAAAAGTAGTTTTAAAAGCATACGAAAATGGTATAGTTAAATCACTATTGCTCAAAACGATTTAAAGCTTAAGCAGAAAAAAAATCAAAGAGATCTAGTTGAACATTTATTTATGTAGTGTAGTATTGGGTCGAATACATTTTATTTACATTAAGACCAACAGTTTTAAAAATGGTTTGCAAATCCCGAGCTTCCCATCTCAAAAATTGAAGATAAATATATAGTGTTTCATAGACATACCGATAACTTCTAGGCTTCCTAAAGGCSCTCAAGACACCCATTTCTTGCGTTATGTTCATTCGTTCATATACATTCGAAACTTTTTTGAAGATACAGAGTAAAGTTTACAATAATCTTGTTTTTTTGTTAATAGGTAGRTACTTATTGAACTTTGTACAATTCTCTCTTTGTACAACCTACAAACTAGGCACCTTCCGGATCTATTACAAATATTCCTATTTATTAAATTGATTATCTATTAGACTCATACGTTTTTCGTCTCAAACGAAATTTGGCACAAGAAATTCTCAAAAGGAAAGAACATTGTCTGTGCCGTGATCAAAATTTTAATAAAAACAATTAATTTGTTATTCAATAAACCAACCAGTCGCGCCCTGATTGTGTCTCTGAAAACTATATCAATAGCATTGATCCAAAATATGCTGTTAGAATAAGACTATGATCGAAATGCATTTAATATCAATAAACAACAAATATAACAAAAAAATGACACATTATTAAAACACAAAGTAAAACGATTTTTAATCGTTGCTTTTACTACCTTCAGTGAAACTTTAGGAATCAGCTTTTCAGCTGTGATCGCCTTCACCTTTTTCACACTTTCATTTTCATGGACAACTTTCTCCTACTTCAAAAGCGCTTCCTTCCACATTCTCAATAATATCAAGTTGCTTGTAATAAATAGAGGTGTGCGAAACCGGTTCCAAAATGCAGTTCCAAAAGTAACATGTTCCTTTTTAATTTTTTATTAAAAAAACAGAAACAAAACATGGGTCATAAGTAACTACTTAAAGAAAAAAAATAGATAATAAAATCGAATCGTTTAAATAAAATATACACTCTGCATGCGAAAATGTTAAAAAAGCGAATTTTCTTTTAAAAATTTATTAACATTTAAGAATACTTTTTTTGTGTATGCTTTCTAGTAATTCTTTGCTCGTTTATGATAGCACTAATATACCTGTGTTTCTTGTTAATGAAACAAGTTTGTCATTGAATAGAAATTGAATAAACTTCTTCTTGTCTATCTTTTAACTGAATTTCCTTTGATTGATGGGGCACTACCGGTTTTTTAATAGCATTTGAATTATTTACACGTGTTATTAAGTCAACAATAACATTAAATAATCTACTTTAACAGTAACATTTATAGACTAAAAATGCTGAATTATATCATCAACGCAACTACACAATATTTCGCTGATCTGACCGATTATGGTTACTGGAGAACTGAACTGTAATTCTTATAGACGAAAAGTTAGAAACACAAACATCAGCGCAACGCGCAACTAAACATATTTTCTGTTGACAAATGGTTACTGAAACTGCTGCAACTGCATAGAACGGTGCCGCATCTGTTTATGAGACGGTTCCAAAAAAACCGTTTAAATTAGCAAAGTATAACGGCAGTTACAGGTTACACGTCTGGAGCACTGTTACTTTAGCGGTTACGTTAAACATCCCTAGTAGTAAAAGACGCACCGGAGATTTACCATACAATTTTACTCGAGTTTATAGTCGCCTCAATAATAATAAACATTATGCATGCTCAACGCGAATACACATTTGATGCGCAAGAGCACAATTTAAAACGAAAAACAACAAAAATCCAATGTAAAGTTGACATTTTTCATTTCAAAACCAAAGTTCAACCTGCACCTTTATTTGGATTCTAAATAATATTTTGGAGAACAAAAAATTAAAAAAATTGGTATGTAGGTACTCTCATAAAAATAAAAATAAATCAAATCAAATAAATCCGTTTTTTTTTCCAGGGTTAAATCATCGAGGATTGGATCATCCGTACTGGCCGAAGGTATCCCCTGATAGCGCAGAAAACATGCACGACTATCCTACGGATATACCGCGTGGACTTCTAGAGCAAAATGAAGACCTAGTGATCATCAGGCAGCAGTTAAGTGGACAAAATGCATCAGCGCCGCCCGGGCCTGGTGCCAACTTGGGCAACTCATACGACACCTCCATATCCAAGAGTAATACAAATTCCGCATTTACTCCCATCAACTCAATGTCAGGCCACTTAAACCACTTAAATCATCAACTAGCACCCAATAGACCATACCTATACGATCCTCTTCCATTCGGCAAGCAGAATAGCCTGGACATTCCTAAAAGCCAACCTAGTAACGGGTTTCCCAATCAGCTCATTTCTCTACATCAAATCAGGAACTATCAACCAAATTCAAGCTTAATGGAACATTCCATATTAGGAGGCTTGAAGGATAAATAAATATTAGAGACTATTTAGTTTAGTTAGGGTAAATGTCCGAGTTTTTGAGGGGTGAAGTTGCATATGCTGTTGATCTCACATTATCTAGATTAGTTTTGTAATCTAATGAGAAAATAACAGGAATTTTTCTGCGATGCGTTTATTTTTTACTTTTCTTGTTGCTATGTTTACTTACGCACACTATTTGTGTAGGGTACAAATATTTAAGTTTAGTATTGATGCAATTTAAGGTTCGTTTATCTGCTGCGACCATTCCAAATACATCTGTATATTTCAATTCCATTTAAATCGAAAATATTTTTCGATGATTTTTTTTAAATCGAAGAGTTTCCTTCCGTTGTTGTGTTGTAACATCAATTTTCTCACGCTGCATGAACTAGTTAATTATGCCATTTACTTTTATTCAAAGGTTGATTCTGACGAGCGACTGCCAACTATAATTAAAATTAAATTCTCGCAAATATTAGATTAATTGGAGACTTGACATTGGTAGAGTTAATGTTTTTTACTTTATATAAACGTGCGCCAGTGAGGTGATTTTATCTATATGGGGAGAAAACAAGTTTTCTTATTAAAGGAAGCGGTTTTTAGTATTAAATAAAAATTATCATCTTTAATCTTTAATAATCACTAATAATAATGTTTGAATTTTATTACATGTATTGTTTTTAAAAACTAAAAGATACACTCACAATATTAATTAATCAGCAAACCATTTGTTATAGCAAATATATATTTAAAACTACGTTATACTTTTATTTGGCAATGTTATTATTTGAATAACATTTATTTGGAAATATCAGAGAATATGCGGGGTCCCTATCTTATATGTGTGAATTGATGAGGAATTAGTAATTGGAATGTTCATTCAAATCATCGAATTCAAATCGGTTTTAATACTTTTTTCATAATTCTGTTAATGTCTTTAAGGCTTCAATGCGAAAAAACATACAAAAGCATGTTTTTTCTTGCTATATCTGTTTTATCCGGATTTGTTATTTTATATATTCTCTATTTGTGTTCATCGTAATACATTTTATACGACTCTTGGTAACTCGGTTGAAAAGCACATTCAAAAAAATTAAAAACCCACATTTAAAAAGATGCTCCCACCTTAATTTCTATATTTCTCAGAAAGACACTACATTTTTAGAATTTGAAAAAATTCTAAATCAAACAAACTACATAACAAAACAACGGTAAAAAACAATCTAAGAAAATAAATAAGAAATCAAAACTTAGCCCTTGAAGCCTTGAAAACTAAACCCTTAATGCTTAACATTCCGTTGATTCATTATTCATCTTAATTTGTCATCAATTTGCAATACCTTTGCCCGGTGTTCGTAAAACATCCCGTCACGCTGTGTACATTGCTGGTTACACTGGTACGCTGGTTTCAAAATTCTAAAACTCACTTACTTTTTTAATATAAATAGTTGTTATTTGATCGACTATTTTTCAACAAATGTATTTTCTGGTTTCCTGTGTCTGGTATAGGTAATAACTAAGAAATGTTTGCTTATGCCATAAATTTCACAATTTCAAGATTGAATTGAAATGTATGACTGGGAAAAGACAATGCTCATTCCCTTTTAAGGGGTTAGTTTAAAGTAAGCCAATTAGATGGCTGATGGATGGTGAAAATAGTATTATAAAATGTGACAACGAACATTGTAATTTTATATTTTTTAAGCTAATGATTATGTTTTGCGCCCTCTCAAAAACTTGAAAAGAAAGGCAATATGTAAAATTGTTAATTCCATTATAAGAAGGTTAGTGTCGATGAAACTGTGCATAAGAGGTATATAAAGACATGTGAATACAGATTACAGATTCAGTTAAGGTTGTACATACTTTTATTATTAGTTAATTTGCAATTATTATAATTTTAAAGGCAGACATTGGGAGGAAAGAATGTATATTTTAGTTTACCAGGGTTTATAGTTCATTTAACGATATAATTAGAAGGTATTACAAATGTTTGCCTTTAAAATTCTCGAATAGCTCAACTATTAAATAATTTATTACGCGAAGGTATAATGTACTCATAATAAACGTTTTTTTCCAAAATCACTCAGCTCAGTTATTCTTGGTTGGAAGTTGGTTTTCCTTATCGTTTCGGGTAACAGAATAGTAAACTTTGAGTTTCATGTTTTTTTTTTTTTAGTTTTTGGTGCAAATATTAATAGTATTAGTCCATTTGAAGTAATTCACGAAATATATGTATGTATCTCATCTCTGTATTGTTGTGCATTATTGTAGCGTTATATCGAGCATTGCGCACATTATTTTAACGTTATCCCTTCACTCTTTTGCCCAGATTTAATGACATGGGTATGTGATAATTAAAAAGCCTGTTTGCTCATGATACGATGTTAATGTCTGCGATTTACTTCAAATTTAAATATCTCATAAATATTTAAAAAATCACTAAAATTTTTGCATTCAATATTTGGGTCTACATCTTCCTCTTGAACTATTAGTCAGCGAATAATTACAAGTAAAACCGCTTACATAATTGAAACTACTAATAGCAAACTCTGAGATGAATATACTTGACCATATTATAACTTCATATAAATACATTATGAGATATTTCGATTAAATTGAAAAAGCGGCATGAAAAAAGGGAATATGTCTATCCTTAAAAGACAACCAGTCGTTAAAATTATTGTTATAGTATACGTTTAACAGCTGTATACGGGAAATGTTAAAAGTTTTCATTTGCTGAAGTGTTACTGTTACGTTAATATTGCTGCAAGAGCGGAAAATTTGGGTTAGCCTATAAGTATGAGAGCCAAGCATTAACGAGTTAAGTTTATATTTGAACGGCGTTTTTGTACCATATACTTTCCTTGTATGATAAGCTTGTGATGTAACTTTAAAAATGCGTCATTATTTATGAAAAAAATTATTGGGTTTTGTTACTTATCATTAAATAAAAATTACTTTTTCATTTATACCTATTAGCTATTGTTTTATTTTTGTTTCCTAAGTTCCGAGTGACTTTTCTGTTCATTTCACACCATATTTGTATCTGTGATATTTTTTCGTACTGAAATATGGTAAATAGTCAATTTGTACATAAAGTTTCAAATTTTTAAGGAACGTAGTTAAGATATTTGAAGAAGGACCCATTTAAATCTAACTGAACATAAAATATATTGTTATTCTATGTCTATAATAAACATCTATTATTAAGGTAACAGGAAAATATAACTAAGTGTCGTCGTACTGTATCACCTATGAACATTATTTTTCTGAACATTTTTGGACACAACGAATTTTTTTTCATACTCATTTTTTTCTACACTTATATAGTTCGTCCTTACATTAGATTTTCTGAGCACACGTATAGAAATAATATTTCGAGTTATTGGTGTATTTGAAATTTAATGTTATAGTATGTTTACTGAATGTAAGAAATAAATAAACGGAAAGAGTTTCAGCCTTTTATTGCGTTACATAAATGCAATAATATGTGAAGCCAATGCACGTTAACTTCACATGTTCGCATACGACACTTCTTACTAAACTTGGTTAAACTTAGAAATTTAAAGAATCTAGATACAAATGTCCCTCTATGGAGTCTAAAGACGTACGAAGCCAGTGGAAAGGCTACTGGATTAAAGATCTTCGATTATCCCTAGAACAAATCATCATGACTATGTTAAAAACCACATATCTAGTTTCCAATCGGATCTCCGTGATAACAAATTAGCTCAAAATTAACACAAGCAATCTATATTTGAGAATGCAACGACTACAAAATTTACATTTTAGGAATTAGCTAAACAAGGTCGAAGCCCAGCCAAGTCCCTACAGATTTAGATATAGGTAGGTAGTGTTCAGGTTGTAGGAGCGCACTTTGCGGCAATTCTCGGGCGCCCTTTTTCGGTGTAAAAAATGAAGAATTTGAACTTCCGGCTTAGCACCCGAGCATACTGAATTGTATAGCGAGCATGTGGTTTCTTAAGTACATGGTTATTGTTTTGTTTTGTTGGCAAAGCGTGGTACAGCAATGGTTTACACTCAAAAACTCATTTCGCTCGGCATTTGGTCAACTTTCTCTATCATTGATAACTGTGTGATAAAGTGTCATGGTGCGAAATGAAATACCGCCGTAAAAACAACCCTGGGAAACATCTGAATTTACCCTCCCCCCAGGTCAACGAGACTAAATGGGTGCAGAGGAGTCTCCCTATATAAACCCAAAAACAGACAGCCAAAACCGCTGGTCGCATTCGATCGTCAGCTCTTAACCGATGAACATCGAACAACCCAACCGCAAGGTTATAGACAAATCTCATTGGAGCACTCCTAACTTTTCGAAACGGGTATCGCGGCTTTTAACAACCGCGGCGTCCGCAACGAAAAACCCTGGTGTTTTCAAACATAAACTTGCGCTCTTTTCTAAAGAACAAGCCAGCGTCTCCTTCGAGACACAGGCACTTCCGCCATCTCAAGGCTCAAAGCCTCAGTGCAGAGATCGTGAAATTAACCCGGTACTTAATTAAAAATGAGTGAGCCTCAAGCTCAGAGTTCCACCCGGTGTAAGTGTGAGTGGAAGTGCGATCATGAAAGAGTCTGGTAAGCCAAAAATACTCGCCCCTCCCAAATCCAAGCACGAATTCCGATCCAAATCCCAATCCGCAGACAACAAAGCCCTTCGGCTTCGCGTTTCAAAGCAGGATGAGCGTATCCAGACCCTAACAAGCTAGATAAAAGAGCTAACCTGCCAGCTCAAACTCTTCACCTCGTGCTCCACCAAAACTCCCGAACAACCCTCCCTATAAGCCCCAACTCAGCAATTAGCGAAAAACTTAAAGTCGCGGACTTTCCTGCCCTCAAACGCACAGCCCCCTAAATCTTACCAAAACTTCTAACACTGCTCTACACCAGTACATGGAGCAGAGAGCAGCCGCCCCCCAAAGTCAGGCCTCATCCAGAAGAATGTCTCCGAATGGACAAAAGCCCGTTCTCTATTAGTGAAAAACAATTACCAATTTTCTATCCCAAAGAAAGTCATTCTAGGGATCCAAATTCACCCCAAAATGACCGATAACCACCGTGCCATCAGGAGCGGATCCAGCTTTCGAGTCAGGAGGGGGTCAAGTAGTACAAATCAACAAAATC